AACGCACACAGACATCCGTGCCCTGAGTGGGATTCGAACCCACGATCCCGGCTTCCGAGCGAGCGAAGACAGTGCATGCCTTAGACCGCTCGGGAACCGTGACCGGCAATCATTTAATTTAGAACAACGTAATATTTAAGTATATGAAATTATCTGTATTTCTGTCAATGTGTAGTAGTGAAAAAACATTAGCATGAAAAGGTTGACCTGCTGCATACGAAAACAGCTTCGAAAATCCCAACCACATTAAAGACAAAAGTGAAACAACTTAAGTCTTCACCGTCCGTCATTCTCTCTAAAATAGTTGGTCGTATAAAAGTAAATGTAAAATCATTATAAGTTTCTTTGAAAGGTGCGCCGGTATGGGAGGGACTTTCCGTTAAATAAAACAAAATTAAATCCAAGGAAATTCTTGTATGTCTTCTCGAAATAACCTCCGGAGTAACGACCAAGAAACTAGTCACCGGAAAACCGGTGTTATAAAGCGTGCAGTAGTTACGGAGCCGCCTTAGCCAACATTCAAGTGTCGTAATATATCGGAGCAAAGATTTCTCACAGCCCAGCTTTTACTGCAGACTGACACAGCGATGTTAACATATGTAATGCTGAACTGGTCTTCGTCAGTTAAAGCGCACATCGGGTGACGCTAAAATGACAATAAAATGTGGTACAAATGGACGACTGTACGATTTAAAGAACACTCATACAAGCTGTGTAGAATATACTTAAAGTAAAAGTAAGTAAAAAGTAAATGTATCCCTGTAACAGGCCGTGGAGGCCCATAGGGTTGTGAGTTGTTGAGGCTCCCACATTTTCTACACAATCGGCTCATAGATGGCGGCAAGGTTGCCAGCCCTACACGCCGGCCGCCCTTTAACCCCAAGAATATTCCTGGTACTCATTTCTGTTAGAGGCTGAGTCGACTCCAGGGCCGTAGTGCGGCTGGAAGGATTAGGTCAACTGAAAAAAATTCATGACCTCATCGGGACTTCAGCCCGCGACCTCCCTGCTTGTAGCATAGTGCCTCAACCAACTACGCTACTGCGTCAGAACAGAAGTGATAACATATCTGTCTTACCTTGTCATCTGAGGGAAGATGTTTGCTGTCTACCAGAAGCTGATTCAGGTCCTTATACAAGACATTCCTGCCTGTCGTTGAGTGTGCGTTGGGTTTAGTGTTGAGGGCCGCCTCTGCAAGTTCACTCCACGACACTTTGAATACACCCGAGAACTTCTTATTTCCAGATGGAGGTCTTCTGCCACCAGACACCGACTTCTTAGGACCCGGTGGTTTGGTCCCTCGGCCATTAAGGATATCTGACTTCAAGGGTGACCCTGACTCGTGATTATCTCTCCCATTCACCACTCCAGACGACTTCAAAGATTTCCTTGTCGGGGTACGACTCCTGTTGAATTTATAAGCACCAGCTCCCACAACGCTTTCTTGAGACCCCGTTCCGTTCACGTTATTATGCAGATTTCTTATTGGTGCTGTCTTCTTATTGCGCTGGAAGTCGTTGTCGGGAGTCTTAATGTTCACGGATGAATTATCTTTGGTAACAAGTTCAGTAGGACTTTTAAAGAAAGCATTTTTGTTCATGCAATTCTTTGCTGATACCGATTTAAGCACATTCTGATCAACATTCCTGTCTTCACTTATCAATTCTTGAGAATTTTTTGACTTCAATGACGACTTCTTGACGGGCTGTGACCTTCTTACACGTTGTTCTTCCCCAGCACCAACCACCTTCACGGTAGAATCACGTGGACTGCCGGCAACATGTTCAGTGACCCTCTCATTTCGCCTCTTCCTTCTCATACTTAACCTCACACTAATCTTTTCAACGCCTTCCAACGCCAATGTCTTCACACTCTGCCTACGCAGACCTACGAAACTGTCATTCGTTAAATCTTCATCATCATTATCATTCTTTGGTGAGACACAACACATATCCTCCGCCATTTTGCCCACGTCTATTTCATCTCCATCAAAATGGCTGCTACCATGAAAGGCAGTTTTGGCTGCTGATGCTTTAGTGGGCGTCGAGTATAGCCGATGTGACGCTTTGTTAATGTGACTGTCGCAAGAAGAACATTCGTTATTTGAGTCATAACACGCTGTATCCTCGGTGATGAATAGAGACTCTGACTGACGTGCGGTTTTGGTAGCGCGTAGGGTTGAAGCGAGAGATTCCTGACCACTGTCTGTATCGCTGTAGTCTAATGAATTAGCACTACACAGGCTCCTCGACCGGTTGTGGTGGGAACAACTAGTGTTTCGATGACGATGGTGGTGATGATGATGATGCGGCTTCCTTCCTTGGTTCCGTTTCCACTTCTCAATACCACTGCCGTGATGTTCTCCTGTGCATGATTTGTGATGGTTCTGCAGAATCTGTTTCGTTTTAGGCGTTGTAATGTTACCACTGATTGACGCTGATATGTCAGGACCACCACGTAAAGAATTCTCAAAAGCGCCTAACTTTAACATTTTGTTTATGACTAGTCTTCCTGTTTACATGCGAATTTGAACGATTTTTTAACCTCCTATAAAAGCTTTGAAACCACATAGGGTGGCAAGCTAATTTGTAAGGAATAAACAGTTTACTTTGGCAATGTAGTTTAAACTCTTAACTGTTGCTTTGGCATAACGTAACAACTTATATCTCAGTCTGTTTCCTTGCACAGTGACACCCTGTATCATTGTCTTCATTCATACATAAAGAAACAATAAACAGGTCATGACCTCCTTACCGAAACAAGTAAAATTCATTATGCAATGTCTGCAATTAAAACAAAGAGAAAAGTGAGATTTTAGGTTCTCACAGCGGTGAATACGGAGAATATTTACATTATGAGATATTATGCCGTGCAGTCCGGTATAAGCTTACAGACGTTTCGGAGGAACGCACTGCCTCCATCTTCAGGATCGGGGGTAGGCGAATCAAACAACAAGCAACTAGTAAAGCTTTCATTTGCTTGCATTACTTGATCGTCTATCCTAGAAATAAATATGGTTCCTCCTAAACGTCTATAAGCCTCAATCAGTCACACGGCTTAACAATACAGAAGACAGATCTACTCAAACTGAAAACGATTTACTATTTAGTATTAAACAAGCCACTTTCTAGAGAACCCTTTAAAACTTTGCTATCAGTTCGTCAATGGACCGAGTCTTATGCAGATAATGCACCAATCACTTTCACCTCTAAGTCGCGAAGCTAGACACGCTAGGTGATTCCTGTCACAGCGCTCCTTCGGCAAGCCCCGAGGTTCTTCACGCGACAGCTCAACTCTCCTCATGCAGACGATGGCTGACCGCGTCTTGTCCGTCTTAATGTTAAATCGCAACTGACAGCAGCTGCTGTAGTGCGTGTTGCTGGAGGTAAGAGCAGCAAACGGCGGTCGGCAGGGAGCCCACGCAGCCCGCAGGACCAGATGTCGGGCCCACCTCATTCGAAGAATGTCAGTCTGTTCCACTACTTTACGAAGACAGCTTCGTGGTAAAATATTATGTAGATTTATATGTTGTTACTAGAGTAAGGTATAATCCCATACAGTGCTTAGTTTCGTAGGCTATTTAATGACGTCGTATCAACTTCAGCGGTTATTTAGCACTAAATGAGATGAAAAAATACTACGAATAGGAAAGGGTAAAGGGAAAATCTAGTTGGTCACAGCAGCCGAGCGGTCTAAGGCATGAACTGTCCATGCTCAGGGCATGGATGTTTAGTTTGTGTATGTGCGTTTTTCTGTGTTTGTGTACAGGTAGAGGCCTTGCGATGAGCTGATCACCCGCCCAAGGAGTCCTACTGAAGGTATAAGATCTAGAAAAACCGAAGTGAACGGAGAAGTTCATGGAGGTAGGCTAGGCCCACTGGGGCTGTAGTGTCAAGGGGGGGAAAAAAAGGAAACTCTGTTACTACTTCTTGACAAAATTAAGAAAGTTATCTCTTGTCCGGCTAAAACACGAAGCGGTTACTCTCCAAAGCTAAGCTTATCAGCCTTGCCAACACTCTCCGTTCTAAAACCCTATTGTTCAAATTCGGGAGTGCCGTACAGCCTAATGTATGTAAGGTGTAGGTGTATGCATGTGAGATGTAGTATGTAGCCCATGTGTAAGTAAGTATGTATGTGAGATGTACGTAGGATGTATATGTACGCGTGTGAGATATATGCATGTACAAGTATGCGTGCAAAACGCTCTGCTTATAGCGCATGCGTTCTTCGGCCCGCCATAAAAGGTAAAGTTATTTCTGTGCTTAACTAATTAAGCATTACACCATGAAGGAGTATGGGGGAGTGGATGTACAGACCCACATTTCTTAACCTCGGCACTAATTTGAGGTGAGTGGTGAGCTTCACGTCCCGGCCGTTTAGCCCCGGGGAAAGAGCAACCGGTACCCATTGGTTAGGAGGATAGGTGGGCCCCAGAGCCGTTTTGGACGACTTGGAGGAGAGAAAATTCTTGACCCTACTGGAACTCGAACTCCGACTCCTCGGTTGTCCAGCCCGTAGCTAGTCTCTATACCGACTGAGCTATCCGGGCTCCCCATTGAAACGTAAAACTTTGTATGCAAGCGAAGTTCGTCCAGCTGTCACGTCCCAGTCAAATATTTTCACTAAAAGAAATATTACCAGTAATTTACTACTGAAGTCAAGACGTTCTCGCCTTTTGTCGACAAAAATTTGTCCTTCCCCTCCTGAGAGTCAGTGTAAACACATTTCATATGTACCATGTGGCACACAGACTCTAAATGTCGGCTAAACCTTCCTGTCTGATTGTGCAGTTCGAAAAGCACGTGTGTTCAAGGTTGGGAGAAATTCGTGGGACCAAATCTTGAGGTGTTACGACCTAACCTCCTCCCAGTTCAGTAAAAATTCAAATCTAACAGAGAGATAATACTGTGATCCAGTATCAGGACAGCTTGAAAAACACGAATACCAATCACAACTGGTAAGAGTAATGCGTTAGAACGACCAAGTCAAGGAGGATGAGATTGGTAGGGTATGCAACACGCATGGGAGCGAGGAGGAATGGATATAGGGCACGGGTGGAAAAGCCGGAGGAATATAATCTACAAGTAAGATATAAACGTAGGTGGGAGAATAATATTAAAAAGAGTCATAAAGAAATAGTACGGGGTGGTATGGACTGGAATGATCTGGCTCAGGATAGGGATCTGTGGCGGCTCTTGTTAGCACGGTTATGAACCTTCAGGTTCCATATAATGCTAGGAAATTCTTGAGTAGCTGAGCGACTAGCGGCTTCTGAAGAAGGGTTCAGCTCCATGGAGTGAGTTAGAAGTCAAATGAAATTCTACGAAAGACAGAAATTAAACCGATATCGGTTTACGTTTACACACTAGTGTGTGTGTGTGTGTGTGTGTGTAATAGTGAACCATAAAGTATAGTCACGCGCTGTATCAAAGAGCCCAATAAATCCGACCATTAATCTAAAACCTGTATAGTCAGTCATTAAATCCCCTGACAATATTCATAAATGTATTCCGGAAGTGAAGGCGATTGTCTTTAATACAAATATATAATTGTGTTGTTAAGAGGTGGGGAAGTTTCTTTGATATCTGAGTTACTGGCACCACAGCGGCCGCTTTCTCTGTGATAAAAACTACACAGAATTAATGGGTATTGAACCAAAAGCTCGTGGACAGTGAGGTGTGTGTTATGACAAACTACGAACTGGTAAAGACGGGTAAAGTAGTGCGCAAAACTATTTCAATCTAAAATTCTTTGGAATATCAACGCAGGTTTTACTCAAGAGAGAGCACCGAACCACAGTCCTCAAACAGGAATGCTTTTAGAAACAGATAAAATCTGTGAACTGGCACGGATGGAGAAACAGATGGGCAGAACTAACAGCAACACTTCTGTGGACGAGCATAGCTTTCTCTACCACAAAAGGCATATACTGCGACCGAGACTTCAGCCACGATCCTCAAGAAATAATGCCTGTTGAGCCTACTGTGTTATACAGTGACGACGAACTATGAACTGACAGGAATGGATAATGAGGTTGGCATACCTAGTAATATTCCAGTCCAGCATACGCCTAACATAAAGAAAACAAAAATGTATTGAGGGCAACAGAATTTGTCTACGATTTATACGGTCGGACGAGTGAAATGCTGACAAATTAAGTGGCGGTTATGAAGAGTGGGAACTGTTCCAAATTTCGAACTTGTTTCATATGTAAAATAAATAAAAAGTAACCTATAGACCTACTATGAACAGGAATTATCACCTGTATGCCCGCGGGTACTATGGTGCTCTCCGAAGGATTTCTGGGTGCTTACAAAATTTTTAAAACATTCATAATATTTTCCACGAAAATGTTGATCTATACATCCACTCCTCCTATACGTCTCCATGGCGCAGTGCTTAATTAGTTAAGCACGGGGACAACTTTACCTTTACTTATCATACTACTTCCTGATTTTAGGGTCCAATGCAAAAATGACATTGTGGTTTTAAATGAATTTATATTTTTTATCGTGGTGTTACCGTTTTCCTAAAAGTTTATTAAAATGCAACCACATCCTGTTTGCACTGGACCCTTAAACTGTTCTCTGATGACATAAGAAAGTGGCAATCATCACTTTATGAACCGAATTTCTGCCCAATTCAGATGAGTTCTATATGTTTAGTCATGTAGATTCTAAAGGGTTCTGACGATGGTGGATGGCACACAGAATTACTGGAGTTTTGGACTTTTTCCATCGTCTGGAATTCTAGGTAATAGAGGACACGACGTTTCGGAAACTGGACGATGGAAAAAGTCCAAAACCCCAGTAATTCTATGTTTAGTCACGTTGAGCGGTAAGAAATGGGGAAGTTCTACCTGTACTTATTTAAGCATCACGCCACAATGACAAATGCGGGAGTGAATATATAACAGCAACCATTCTTAACCTCTCAGTGGATGGAGGTGAGTGGTCAGTTTCATGCCCAAGCGGCTTTACCCCGGTACCTACTGAAGGGAAGGCTGGATAGGCCCCAGAGCCGGGCCTCCACACTTTGAAGAGATGAATCTCTTGCTTCTGCCGAGAATCAAACCCCGAATTCTCGAGCGTCAAACAGGTAGCCTAGGCACTATGTAAACTGATGCCGGTGAAAGTACTGGAAAATTAAAAATGGCTTATTATTCATAAAAGCTTTCGGCATTTCACTGTTGTGAATGTTCAAATTGTGGTCTTATACTCGTAGATTGTGACACCATGTAGTGTTTTTGGTTAAGACCAGTGTTTCGGAGGAACCTACTGCCTCCAACTTCATGTAATTTCGACTCTGAAGATGGAAGTAGGTTGTTCTGAAAAAATTCTTATACCTACCTACAACACTATACGGTCACCGCCCAACATACCGAAATATTATTTGCCGTAGAGTTAAGTACTCACAACAATGGTTATGAAGAGTTCTGTCTTCTGGAACGCAACGCCGTATAGTCCGATGAAAGACGACCGACGTTTCGGAGGAGTATGTCACCTCAATTTTTAGGGTTGCCTGCTTCATGCCGGTTTCTTGCTTGTCTTAAGTCGTGAAGATTGAGGTAACACGTTCTTCCGAAATGTCGGTTTACTTTCAACGGACTACACGGCGTTATACCCCAAAAGGCAACAACGCTTTCTAATTTATTTTTCATTAAGTTTCCTTTGCGTCAAAACACTGTTTTGTAAAATGTCTTGATGTGGGAATACAGGGTACACGTAAAGCATTCCATGATATAATTATTTGAATCCGGTCTATTTTTTGGTAGGTTTACATGGTGTTCGCTCCTAAGCGGCCGACACAGAAAGAAAGGCTGATCTTCTGGCTTCAGTCCACACAAGCCATATCTGCATGACCTATCAGTGACCGGGACCAGATGCACCTTGGCTCTCCCCGTTCGAGTGTATACAGATCGGACCCCACACGGACGAAACATGCGACTTCGTCACTCTCAATAAGAATTTAACCGTTCTACATATTTTCGTGTAATCAGGTGGAACAAAAAGTATAATTTATGTGAGACCCGGGTTTCTCGTGGCGGTGTAAGGCCGTGTAGTCTAGGGCCGCGCCATAGCTCAAGCGGTTAGTCGCTGGCTTCCCACCGCGGCGGCCCGGGTTCGATCCTGGGTCTGGTCAAGTGGGATTTGTGGTGGACAAAGTGGCGCTGGGGCGGGTTTTCTCCGAGTACTTCGGTTTCCCCTGCCAATCTTCATCCCACCAATCAGCCGGGGCAGGTACAATAGGCCAATCAGTGGCCGTCGTGCCGAGTGGACCCAGTTGGACTCCACCCCCCACTAAGTGAATTTAAAAAAAATTAAAACACTGCTTTTAC